TTAGGGCTCACTGCAGACATCCAGGGGCACTTCTGACCCTTAGAAGCAGGGTGTGTCCTTACCTGCTGTTCAGCACTGTGGAAGGTGAAAGAGCCACAAATCACAGGTGTTTTGGGAAGAGGTGTTTTGGGGAAGATCTTAGGAAGAGGCAGCCTGGAGCTGTTGATCTATGATTGGAGTAGAGCCCTTTTAACACAAAGAGAGGAAGGAAGATGAAACACTGCCAGACCTAGGTAAGCAGTGCTTATTTGAGTGGGAAAACTGAACTATTCCAACTTACATAAGAAACTGGAGTGTTCTTAACTCTTCATAACCACTAGAAACACTGTGCACTTAGCATTATCAGGGGAATGTGCAGCACTCTCCCTTTTAGCAATCCAGGCAAGATTTAGAACCCTGAGCACAACATACCAGCACTGCTATGCAAGTCAAAGGCTCTCTGGGTAGATTACATAAACATAAATGTCACACAAGGCCCAGAAGGAACTGGGGGAGCAAAACTGATTTGAGAAAATTCCTGTAACCCAAGATGCCTTTAAAACAAGAAACCACTTGGACACAGGGGGAGCCCACAGGGCTGAGACAATGAGCTGTAAGGGGAGACAGCGATGAGCACTGCAAGGAGTCGAATTCCCGTTTCAAGTGTGCTTCAATCACCAGGTTCTCAAGGTGGGGATGCTCGTGTTCACGCAGGAGGGGATCCCAGCTGCTCTCACAGCTCCTCACGCTGGCAGCTCTAGCAGATCTCGGCGGCGGGGGGCTCTCCACACTGCTGTCCCCCAGCATATGCTGTGCTGACACTGCCTCAGAGATGCCCACCCACTCTGCCTTTCTCCCACAGAGAAACTGAAGGCTGCACTTGGCCACGGGCCCAGTCTGCTGTTTTCTTTTCTCCACGAAAGCTATAAACAGCAGGGAGTGCAAGCAGCCCGGGGCCATCGGTGGTCTGATGGCTTTGCTGGCTGCCTGTGGCCCTGAATCCATCCAAAGGGGAACAGGAGTCAGCAAAAACCACCAGAGAGGGAGGGGGCTTAACGAATGTTTACTTTCGTCAGCATACATATAGTTCTGAAGAGGAAACGAGTAGCTTTCACTTTTTCTTCTTAATTAATATTGCCTCAATGTAGTTTAATCTTACTTAGCTGCTCTGTAATTTGGCCATGACCCAGCTATAGGGGATGGAAACAGAGCCATGACTGCCCAGCTTAGGATGACTTTTCCTGACCCTGCATTTCAACAGAACTGAGCAAAGGGTGTGGGCAGACCTGGAAGAGGTAGCCAGGGCAGGAGGAGCCCCAACAGGATCCTGACACTGGAAACACAGCTGATAAATCCCTTCTCAGGGAGAGCCCAACCTGCAAACTTCCCTTAGTGTAAGGGACGGTGTGGAGCTGTGGTGCAGTCATGCTCCTTGAGAAACAGGGCTCTGTCCCACCCAGGCTGTGCTCAGGGTCAATCCAGGCTGCTGCATCCCACGTGTGTGAGCCTGCAGAGCTCCAGCAGCTCCATTATTTCTGGGTGTGCCACTGCTGTGGAGGGAAGATTGGCTTCCAGCCACAGGAAGCAGAGCCATTGCTGGAGCCAGTGAGGATGTCCTGCAAGGGCAAACAGGAGCACCAAGGAGGTGGAAGCTTCCAGTTCTTAAACACGTGAAGTACAGATCTGAGTTCTGGAGTGTTTTTGTTCCTCTGCACAAGTCTGAACCCAGTAAAGCCCAGCTCCACGATAGTGTGCTTGAGAACTGACCTTTTCTTGGGGTGATGGAGATCAGTGATGGTTTTTCTGGGGGCCACTACTGTGCACTTGGAAATAAATCCTTGAAATCCAGGAAATCACAGGCAGAGAGATGATAGAACAGTGGCTCTGATCTTTGCTGGTGAGAAGCTTAACAGAGTTTTTTGCAGTAAATTTATATTTAAAGAGACATAGAATTGTGGAATGCAATGGATTGGGAGCGACCTTAAAGCTCATCTTGTTCCAGCCTCCATGGGCAGGGACAACTTCCACTGTCCCAGGCTGCTCCAAGCCCTGTCCAACCTGGCCTTGGATGATTCCAGGGATCCAGGGACAGCCAGAGCTGCTCTGGGCACCCCGTGCCAGGGCATCATCCTCCTCACAAGGAACAAGTCCTTTCTTATATCTAACCGACTATCTCCTCCCTTACTTTGAAACACTTACCCCAATCACTGTGTAAAAAGGGCTCTCCCAACATCCTTATCAAGATAAGCATTACCGTGTGATTAAGACCTCGTTATTATGCGGTGAATTCAGGAAAATGTGAACACGGCTGTGTTTCCCCTGGCCGGTTAAGTGACAGCAAGCACAGTGCCAGCTCTGCTCTCCGCCGTTGCTGCTCCCCGAGCTCTCCAGAAGGGGCCAGTGTGCCCTCGCCTTTCGGGGCCGCAGCAAACCTGCCCAGGCCTGTGTTTTTATTTAGAAAATGCTGAGCTGTCTGGAAAGTTTGATGAAGAGGGATGCAGCTGCATTAATGTGCTTCTTCCTGGGGATTTGAATGCATTTTCTGAGCAGTGCAGAAGGACCAGGGATCAGGGAGACAATGTGCAGGGAAGCAGCTCTGCTGACCACACTCGGATATTTTAAACCTCGCGTCATGGGATTTCAGCAGCTTCAAATTTGCTGTTTAGGATTGAGTGCATTAGTCAGAGGTTCCTCTCTGCAGCAGGACAAGCCCGGGAGTGCTCTGGAGTCGCTCTGACACGGGAGAAGCACCAGGCCCTGTCTGTGCTGTGGCCACGGATCAGCTTTTTCCCCTGGAGCTTCCAGGCTCAGCTCTCTCTGATCCCTGTGAAGGTCACTGGGATTGCAGCAGCGCAGCCGAGCCTGGTGCCTTGTGGAACAAAGAATATCCCCGGCGTCTGCAGGCGGGGATGGCTCCTGCTGTGCTTCTGCCCCCCAAAATGCTCATGGGTGGGGTTTGCGTGCCCGTGGGTTGCACACCAGAGCCCCCAGCCACGCGTGGGTCTGGCACTGCCTGCACTGCACTGCAGGTACGGTTAAAAAAAGCCCTCAGAGCCAGGGAGGAGGCTCAGCAGTGCATCTGCAGCTCTCTGCATGCAGTGGCTTTTATCTTCTTTACTTGGAAATGAGTCATTTCCCTGTACTGTACAGAGATGCCCAATTTCCTTGGAAATTGTTCAGTTCTGCAGAGTCCCCAGAAATCCCCAGTGATGGGACCCAATTTTTTGCACTGGGTGTTTTACCTGCACCGGGGATTTTCACAGGTTAGAGAAATTAAAAAAATAATTCAAAATAACGGATAGAAGCAACTGAGACTTCACTCAGTTCGTATTTATTCCAAAGGGCATGTGAACCTTCTGTACTGAGCTCTGGCAGTTAATTCATCACAGAGCCCCAAAGCACAGCCAAGCATGTTTCATGCAGATTGAAGCCTGCAAATGAAAAAGGACTGTTCTCACACGTGCTGGCTGCCTGGCTGAAAGGACTGCAGCTCCAGCTGTGGGGACTTGGGGTGTACTTGGAAATGAGGTGGTCAAAAGAAGACTTTGGGGTCTGCAGGGTGGGTTTGTGAGCCCACACCTTTAAGACCTGCTGAGGACAAGGATGGTGGAAAGGTGTAGCATGATCCACAGTGAAGAGGCTCAGCAGAAAAACAACTGTAGTGACGTGCTGGCAGATCTGTGTATTGCTAAATATTACCACCAGCAATCTTACCTGCCTGTTCTCAGAGCCATACACATCTTAAAAGTCTTCAAACACTGTGAGGAAAAACCCAACTAAGCCCATTTACAGCAGGCTGATCCAATCTCACTGGCATCTAGGCCAAAGGCTGTGGGAAGGGTAAATATTTTTGTCACCCCAAAGCAACCAGGCCTGGCCCACCCTGGGGACAGGGGCAGGCAGCAGGGTGGCTGTAGTTATTACCACAATATAGGAAATAATAGTCATTGGGAAAATGGGACCATGCTTTGGTTTCCTCTTCCATCCCAGTCAGAAGGGAGGAAGGAGAGGGGTGCTGTCATGGAGGTATTAATTTGGCAACCAAGTGCTGCTTGGGTTTTGTATTGTGGTGTTTCATTCTGGAAAAAAAAACCAATTTTTGCTATTTTTGCCATTTTAACATTTCCCTCTGCTGTTTGAAATCCCAGCTCTGGCCTTTAATAGTGCATGAGGAGAGGAGTCAGCTGCTCTGGATGCCATAAGCTGGGAAAAATCTCTGATTTCTAAGGAAAAAATGCTGAAAGGAACTGAAACTGCATTTAATGCGAGTTTCCCAAGATTTGAGCTAAACTAAACCTTTCCAAAGCCTGACCCAATGGCTTTGGACTCCGGAGGAGCTGCAGTGCCCCTGAGGAGCATCTTGCCAGGCAGGAAAGAGGAGGAAACTGTAATTTAACAGCAAATCCAAGGCACAGGTTTTACAAAACCAGGTACCAGGTGTAAAACTAAAGACATTTTGTAGGATATCTCTGCTTTCAGGATTTTTTTCTTAGGCTCTCAAAGCAGGGCCTCTTTGAAGATAAGCCTCGTGCTTCAGGTTAATCCCAAGATGTCACAGCAGTGGCCTTTTATTATTACACCACAAAAACATCGACTTTAGCGCATTATTTCAAAAACAAACGTAAATACCCGTCACCATGCAAAGCCCTAATGTGGGCCGTGGTTCCTCACGGACAGGATTCCTGCACTCATCCCTCACGGCGAGGAGGACGCAGAGCCCCAGGGCTTCGTCCGCTGTCCCTGGGGCGGCTCCGGTCCCGGCCGCTCTGAGGGGCGACCCCGGCCCGGGCGCTCCGCCACAGCCCCCTCACGGCCCCGCCGGCAGCGCCCCCTGCCGGCCGGAGCCGCGCGGCATGCCGGGACTTGTAGTCCCCACTGCCACAGGGCCCCACACTCCGCCGGCCACGCCGAACTACCGCCCCCAGCGTGCCGCGCGCGGCGCCGCCATCCCGCCGAGCCCCCTCTCCCCATCCCGCCGCACCGTGAGGCGGGGGGCGCTCTGAGGGCTGCGGGACGGGGCGTTCTGGGGGGCGCGACATCCCGGTTCGGAGCGCGACATCCCGGGACGGGAACAGCCCGGTGCGGCGGGGCCGGGCCCTGCAGCCGGCGGAGGAGCGGGGGCGGTGCTCCCGGCGGCAGCCGGGACTTCCTGTGACGGCCCATTTCCTGGTCGGATGGGGCCGGCGGGGGGCGGCGGTGGCGGGGTCGGTCCCTGTCCCTGACGGGCTCGGTGGTCGCCGGTGACGCCGCCAGGCAGCGATGCGGGCCCCGGGCCCTGCCGGCAGCCGGCCGCCGCCGTGACCCGGTGGGGCTGCGCACGCCGGCGCCGCGGGGCGCATGGAGGCTCCCGCCGCCCTCTGCGAGGTACCGGGCAGGGTCCCTGCGGGTCGGGGCTCGCGGGGGCAGCGCCGCAGGCCCGTTATCCCCGGTGCTTTTGCAGGTGTGACTCCCCGCGGGACAGCGCGGCTCGGCCCCCGCCAGGCCAGCGGCCCCGGGCCCCCCTCAGCAGGAGCCAGGAGGGCTCGGGAGTGACACCGGCATCGCCCCCGCCGCCGGCGGCTGCCGCCTCCTGAGCCATGAAGAAGTTCTTCGACTCGCGCCGGGAGCAGGGCGGCTCCGGGCCCGGCTCGGGCACCAGCGGCGGCGGCGGCGGCAGCAGCGGCCCGGGCAGCGGCTACATCGGCCGGGTCTTCAGCATCGGCCGGCACCAGGTCACCGTGGATGAGGTGCTGGCGGAAGGTAAGGTCCCGGTGCCTTTCTGAGCGCTCGAGGATGCTGCTTTTCTCTTCCCAAGCTGGAAGGGAGGCCTTGAGCTGTCCCGGGAACCCAGCCGCCTCCTTGACCCCCAGATTGCTGAATATTTCATTGTCCTTGGTAGAATTGCAGTCTGGTGGTGTCTGTAAGCTGATGTGTCTGGTCTTCCCATTTGTAAATCCAGTGTAGGTTTGGTAGATTTTTTTTTTTTAATTGGGGGATTTTCAGAAGTTAATTGTTTCCCACTTCTCCTAAAGTGGGAGTTAAAAAAAACCTAAAGAAACAGCCAAACCAAAATTGTCAAATATTTCGGTGCAGAACAAGGTGCTGTAAATAAAGAAAGCAGTGTCCTTCAGTCTTAAACTTTCCTCAGCTGTTACCTCGTTTCCCACCTCAAGCAGAGAGGATTAAAACGCTGGAGTAAATTCCTTGTGGCTGTGTTATGCACACAGGTAGGCTGAGCAGGACTGGCTGTGACCTGGGATGAGGGATTTCTCTGTGTGTGAGATGCCTGCAGGAGGAAGTGGTGATCCCAATTGCCCTTTTTTCCCCCAAATAAAACTATTAGAGACCTAAAAATGAATCCTGGGGGTTACAGAACTCATGACGTGTGCAGGCCTTGCAGCGCTGGTGGCATTTATTTAATTGTGACCAGCTCTGCTGCTCAAACTATCATTTTACATTTCATTTGTTGGGGCTGTAAGGAACCTCCTGAATGGCTCTGCCTGGTAACCTTAGCCTCGACCTTCAGAGAGGTGTTGGCCTCCTTAGACCTGCTCCTGGTCCCTCCTGCGCAGCATCCTGGGCAAATTTAGTCCAAACAGTGTTTTGTTTTGATGGCGAAGGAGAGGAGAGCTGCTGGGAGAGAGCTGAGTGGGAGGACCTGTGTTGGCTTTTACAGAAAGAGCCCTAAAATGGAAAAGGGACTCTGTGTACGCTGCCTCTGTTCAGATTTGTAAGAATTCACCACGGTGTACAAGAAAATAGGTCTGTGGCTGTTTTTTAGACTTGGTTGCTGCTGTGCTGTGCTGAGAGGAGCACTGAAACCAGGCTCTTACCTAGCAACTATAGTGATTTTCTTTTTTCCTTGATATTTGCAGTGTAGGTTTGCCTGGACTGATATTTCCAAGGCCCTTTTGGCTCTGGAAGCTTAGGACCTACATGAGCTAAACTTGAGAAGCTGTCAGTCTCTCTTTAATGCAGGATGGCCTCATCCTGGTAACATGGGAAGGCAGAGGCTTTTTTTGATGATGAGTAATGTGCTGGCAGGTTCTGCCCCGGGAAGCAAAGCCATGTGTCACCGGGCTCTCCTGCTGCAGCAGAGGTGGAGGTGGGAGCACAGATTGCCTGGGAGAGAAGAGCCTCCCTTCCCTGCCTCTCTGTCCTGAGGGAGCTGCTGCTTGTGGGGGCTTTTCCCTGCATCTCCTGTTTCTGTCTGTGGGATGGAGCATGGCCTGCAGCTCTGGGTTCCTTCCTTCCACCTGTGAAACAGTTCCTGTGAGGCAGAGGGAGTTCTTGTGGTGAAAGGTGAAAAGTGAGGCTCTGCTGTGGGCAGTGTGAAATCCTCTGTGTGCAGAGTGGACCCTGCCAGGGGACATGAGCAGGGCAGTGGGTTGCTTTGCAGGTTGGCAGCAGTGAAAATGCCTTTTCCTCTGCAGAAAGTTGGGCCAGCTGGTGAGCAGGGTGGGTCAGGAGTGCTGCATGCCCCTGGCTGGGGGTGCTGCTAAACAGCCTTATGTCCCTGAGTGGGCAGCCCGCTCCCCACGCTCCTGATGTCTGAAACCTCGGCTGGAAAACCTCTCTGTAGCTGCAGTGGTGTTTCAGGAGTGCTGAAGAGGCAACTCCTGGCTATTTCTGCTAAAAGGAAAAGTCCCCTGGGAAGCACTTGGTAGGAGGAGTATCCTGTCTGGGAAGGAAGGATCTCTCATCCCCTTGCTTTAGGAGGGAGTGGGGAGGCCTGTGTTTAGGTGCAGCCTGTGAAACATGAAAAAAAATGAGATGTAAAAGTGGCTTAAAAGAGAGAACCAATGAAGTGATGAACGGTGAGGAGGAGACTTGAGTTGAACCAGAAGTTTTGGAACTGAAGTGTTGGAATTTCTCTCTGCCTGCCTGGTCACCCTGAATTCTGCTGAGCAACCCTGCTGATGAGGAGTGTGTGTGCCCTGGCTGCAGCACTGCCTGTGCCAGGTGGCAAATGGCTCCACGTGCCTCTGGGCTCTTGTGTAGATCCCCCAAAATACCTGCTGTGGTCAGGTGTACCCCCCCTGCACCCCTGAAAAATAGTTTTGTCTGGATACTTGCCTGCCTGGGCAGGGAGGAGCATCCCTTCCTTTTGGAAGGAAGTAGATGGGAATAATGCAGAAGGAATTTGAGGAGTTGGTTGTGGTGTTAGGATATGGTGAATCAGTGGGGTTTTTACAAGCAGGGTGTTGCAATAGGTGATTCCTAGTTGAGTCCTTGTAGCTCTCCTGCTCTAATCCATATAACAGCACAAATAAGCTCTTGAACAATTCCCCTCAAAGTTTGCACAAGGATTATCTGTGATGCTGCTGGCCCTGGGGGTCTGCAGGGCCAGGTTTAAAGTCACACAGTGCCCCAGTATGAGGGTGTTGTGACTGGTTTTGGGGTGAGTGGTGTTTCACAGAGCTGAAATTGATGCCCAGGAGCTCTATCAGTGTGGGGCTAAGTCAGGCTGCTGTCTGGCTGTTTTCTTTCTGAAAATAAATCAAAAGAGTGTTGGACCAAATCAGATACTGCTCTTTGTTTCTGCCTTTGTGTAGGGGAAAAACCAAAACAGCAAACCCCCACCCCAGAGCCCCATGCTGGAGCTCTAGGGAGGCTGGTGCCCCTCTGATGGGGACCAAAGCAGCAGGAACATTGAGAAGGATGTTGCCATAAATGAGGAATTTGCTCAGGAGTTTGGGAGTGGTGCGTGTGGCAAAGTACCACAAGGCATGGGTGAGCTAAAACAGGTTGGGGATTGCCCCAGTGTCCCATTTTTGAGGGCCTCTGTGTTTTGTGTGACTCTGCTCACAGTGTTGTGAGAGGGTGCTGAGCTGACCCGAGGTGTGCAAACATTGATGGGGCACGTGTTTGAGCAGGGTTTTGTCTTGCTCTGCTTCTAGCAAAAAGCACAGGCTGCAGGTCTGTGAAAAGTTTTAAAATGAGTAGTACTTTTTGAAGGTCTTTTCCTCTTCAAGTGTGTAAATAAGGGATTCAGGTTTAATAATTGGTGGATATCTCACTGATTTTTTTCAGGTACATGCCTGTGTGCTGTAGCTAGTGTTGATTTGAAAGCATTTAGTGCTTGGTATTACAAACCAGTGCAAAGGCACAGAATCATCTCACGTTTGCCAGCTGTACTTTTTCCTCTGTTTTGAAAAGAGGGACATTGTGGGATCCATCCTGACTTTCCTCAGCAGTGGCAGTGCATGTGGGAAGCAGCTGGGAGAGGCTGGGAATGCCCAGCCTGGTGGGGTGGGGGTGCCCTGAGCTGCCCAGGGTGCTGGCCTGAGTGCAGAGGGTTTCTGCTGAGCCCTGCCCTGCTCTCCCTTGGCACCTCCTTCCCCTGCAGCACCATAACCTGAAGTCACTGAAAATATACTTCTGAAATAATTTCACTTTAAAGCGACTCCCATCTGAGGAACGTTTTGCAGATTTATGTGATCCTTACCTGAAGTCACTGAGAATACACGTGAGCTTCTTCTGAAATAATTTCACTTTAAAGCGACTCCCATCTGAGGAACGTTTTGCAGATTTATGTGATCCTCAACCCAATTCCAGCGTGGTTGGGTTCAAGACATTGCTTTGAAGTGTATTTTGTGAGTTACTGCTTTCCAGCTTCAGCCAAGGGCCAGCTGCTAATCACCTGACCAGGGACATTTGGATTAGGAATTAAACTGTTTCTCCTCTTGGAATGGGACATGTGATTTTTTTTCCCTGTTTCTCGTGAAGCAGAACATGTACTCTGCACTCTGCTCTGCCAGGTAGGATGTTTGATTCTGTGTCTGTTTTTCTGAGAGTAGAAGCTAAGGCAACTTGTGAAGAATCCCAAGGGAGTTATTTGCTAAATGTTGAGGTATCCCAACTGTTTTGGTGCTTTTAGCAGTACAGCTTTTGCTGGGACAGTGTGTGCTGTGTCCTGAGATGTAATCAGGGAGGAAAAGCAGGTGTTAGTGGATTTAAGTGTGTAAGAAGTTGTGTGGGCCAGAGGCTGGCCTGGCCTGGCTCGTGGGCTTTGTGCTGCCTGTCACAGAAGGGGTCTGGGTTGTACCCAGGGGGGCAGGATCCTTATGGAGCAGCTGTGGCAGCTAAAAGCTGGTTTAAAGGCAGTGTTAGCCCAGCCATCATCTTCCCAGAAGGAACCTTCCATGTGAAACCAGGGGAGTTTCTGTTTCAAGCAGTCCTGCTATGAAGTTGTCAGTGTAAGAAAGCTTATTTGGGGATTCTGGCTGGGGGTAATCCATGGTTTAACTCTCCAGCTGGGGTCTTGCACAAGTGTTTTAGTAGTTTTAAAGGAACAGGTTGCTAACTTCTGGTTGCATGTGCATCATGTTTTTATTGTGGCATGAGCCTTCTCCCCTTTGTGCAGGAGCTTGTCAGCAGCTTGAGGAGAGCAGGTGGGAAGTTACAAATGTGCTGAAGACAAGCTGGAATCCACTCTGGATTTAGCACTTCTTGCCTTCCAAGCTCACCCACCTGCATTAATCATGGCTAATAGGGGTCAGCACTGGCTAGGTGCTGCACACTTGTCTTGGGACTGGGAGCTGCTTCCCTTGAAGGTGACTTTTTTCAGTGTAAATGTTCTGGGCAGGCTGAGGCTGTGCCCGTTGGGAAGGCAGTGTGCCAGCTGCAGGGCTGCTGCTGCTTCTCTGGAAAGTCACAACCAATTTGCCTTGTCTTGTGCTAAGTGTTTACTTGTGTTCTGTGTGTGGAAGGAGACAGGAAGTCTCTGAGGAGAACATGCCATAAGCAAAATTGGTTTA